TACACATTGACTAGCATATACTAATTTGAAATGTGTATTAAAATATTCACAAACTAAGATAAATACTATCAAAATTTGCATTAAGGAAATATGCATCCACAAACATTTGACATTATGAAATACAAAAAATAAAAATAAATTAATTTATTCAAGCCAAATCTTTTTTTCATTAGAGGCTCACAACTAACTCGCTTTTATGGTCTCCCCCAAAAACTTCATACACTTAGGGAAAACTATAAAGCCCCTCTTATTCGACCTATAGCCTCGTCCACCAACTCATATAAATTTAATCTCTCCAAGTGCTTATGCACTCTACTTCACCCCGTCATACCCAACGATTACACTACATCAGACTGTTTTACTTTTGTTAACCAACTACACGCCCAAAACCACAACAACAACTACTTCCTTTTTTTTGTCTTATAAGTCAATTGTTATATTAACTGTCACAATTCACGAGGTGTCACGTCATCATCAGACAACCAATTAATTTCGTCGAAGAGAAAATCATCATCTGGGCTATCGTCTTGCCCAGTCTCTTAAAGTGGCAATCGAAGTATACGCCTTTCATCATGTTCAGTGGCTTGATTTTCTGAGACATTCTGTATTTCGTTGTAATGAGTGTCCATCGATTGAAGAGTGGATGGCTTTGTGTTCTCATTATGTATGTCAGCACTGCATGAGTTGGACGATGACTGGTGAGAGGAAAAACTGCTTAATGATTGAATTTGGGAAAACTCGGAGTCGTTATTAGATGATACCAAATTGGATAACTGGGGCTGGGAAGACTCAGAAAACTCGTTCTCAGGAGAATCACTATCAGGCAAGTCCACGTTCGATGATTGGTCTTCAGAAGACTCAGAAAACTCACTGTCCGAAGAGTTTTCATCAGACGAGTCCTCATAAAAGGATTCTGTATGAGATGAATAATCTGAATAATATTCATCTTTATCAGTATGGCTATCGCCTGCTGTACACTCTTGAGATAAGGTTTTACTCATTGCTGTTTTCTAGATGAGAAAATATTGTTTGGTTAAGTTTAAAAATAAAGAATCTTTCAGTAAAAATAAAAAATGTTAAATCGCAAATGATTATTTATTTTAGCTGTCAACGTTTTAGCCGTCTTCCCTATCAAAAATGATAGACTGATAAGAATATTGATCTTAAAGTTGAGATCTTAAGCTTGAGAATAATTGTGGTCTCTCAAGCTAACTGTATTGTTGCAATTTTGCTGTATTGCTGAGGTTTTTCTTTTATCTTGCCGAATTTTTCTTCACATGCTACATATTTGACAAATTCTTTAGCAAACTCTGATGATTTGACAAAATTCAACATGATTTATAAAATAACGTTCTTAACTTTTGTTATGCTAATATCATCCCCCTCAATAAGCAGTCTGCCGCCATGCATGGTGTTAACTGTTTCACAAATCAGTAGCATACGGAATCCTAGTCTTTCCTGCTATCTGATTGGCTGTTGCAGCAAATATATAAAGTCAAAAAGAAAATATATGTCGTCGGTTCGCTTTGTAATGAGCAAAAGCATTCTTAAAGAAAGAGTATGTAAGGTTTGATTAAAAAAGACATATAATTTTATGAGAACAAGCTGCGTTGATTATTTTGTTATTTACTTTAAATCACTAAAATGACATGACGTCATTATAACAATAAATGGTAAAACTGTTGTATTCAATTCGTAAATATTTTTTATATAAAATTAGATAAGAACATTGACTTTCGATTTTGCCTTTCAAACCACTCTCTGATCTAGGCCAGTTATCGTAATATGCAGACTTTAATCCTTCAAACAACATCTCTAATTAATTACTCGGATACAGTAAAATGTATTACAAATATTTGTGCATCCAAATAATTTTTAAGTAATATTGTATCTTTATATTAGATCATTATGCTCATTTCAGTGTTATCCTGCGTCAGTAAATTAAAGGAAGAGAAAGTGAATGCACAAGTTTTTTTAAAAGTATGCCTATGCTAAAGTAAAGAAATTATAGCTTATTATAATAACAGAGCCTTTTGTTAAACAACAAATACAAAACATGTTTTCCACAGAAGAAGTGTGAAAGGCTTTTATGGCATTTCTTCTCAAAATTATCGTCGTTGTTGTTATGATCCGAACTTATTATCGTTCCTATTAAAGGAATTGACGTTGGAACTTCACTAAAGAATTTCTTATAATTTGTTTAAACGTTTCATATATTTTTGATTTTGCAAATTCTCTTGGAATGATTAATTGATTTGATTGGTTGAGCTCAGATTTTGCACAGGCTATTGCGAACATGGCTATTGACCAATCACAGCATCCATTTTATTGTTTTTATTTTATAAATGGATTAAATTCAAGTAATTACAGCCATTGGCAATTGACCGTGAGGCGTGCATAAATTAAACGTTTTGTTATAGTTTCAAAACTTGACGTTACAATACATATATCTGATTGTCGCTAAGGCGTAACCCAAAGATAGCATTGATCAATAACAAAGAGTCGCTCTCCGGGTCTATGACAAAAACAAACTATGTCTCGCCAATACTAATTCAAAGTCTTATATCTAACAATAGAGTTTCACGTGTTCAAACGTTTTTTCATACTTGTCTAATTTCGACATTTCACGGTTGTTTACTAAATAAAAACATTTTCTATAATTTAACACATGCGCTTAGCAACAATAAGTCAGCCGTTAGTAATGTCAAGTTTTGAAACTATAACAAACGTTTAATTAATTTATGCACGCCGCATGGTCAATTGCAAATGGCTGTATGCACATTTACAAGTAACTGAAGTAAGCTTTTGTCATGGCCAGGAAAACCCACGCACTTACTTTTACCGAATCTTAACTATTTTTCGACTAATCGCTGGTAATTTATATTACGAAGTACAAAATTACACTCGACTATTTTAAAAAATAGATGAAAAAACACACTCCACTAAGCATCATCTTGTAAATTGAAGATTTGAGTTATAATAGCAAGAAACAAGATTTAAAGCTATATTTCGACTTTATTTCAAAGTCATTATCAAGCTAAGTGATTATTTAAAAAGAACATGTTATTTTTTCCTAATTCCTTAATCTAATTGTGAATAGTAAAACTCTCCGTCCACACGTATCCGGATTCGTTTGTATTTGTCCGGATTTGTTGCGGTTACGCTTATCGTCCACACGTATCCAGCGAAAACGCATACTGTAACCGCAAACTTTTGAAAACGGTCTCTAGATTGGAAACACATTGAATTCGGACACTGTAACCGGAATGATTTAAAATCGCTGACGTAATTGATGAAATATCGTATACCACACATCGCTTCCCTAACCCAATCCACATTTATCATGTGTTATCCTCTGAATTAAGATGGTACCTAAAGTGATTGTTTTTAAACTGCGCTATTTTCGAGCATAATTCGACATTTTATAGCCAGCTCATTATTCGTTAAAACGCATGCTCTGTAAGCAATAATTGTGTTTTAGTATCGTTTTCGAGGCTACATGTAGACAGACAAAAGCACATCATATTCGTATGCGTGTGGACGCGTAAAGTTTTGAATCCGGAACAAATTGTGAATCCGAATATGTGAATACTGCGCCCGATCGAATTATTGCTTTAAATCTTGTCTCTTGCTTTTATAACTCGAATTTTGCTTGAATCAAAAGTATGTAAGAACGAATAAAAACGCAAAAACTGTGATTTTGTAATACAAAAGTATAGTAAAGTGAGACCGATATCCTCGAAGAAAGTCATAATCAGATGAGCCAACTTCGGGTTTCAATTATCTTACTATGTTTTATACATTGTGAGTTATCCAGTGTAATATACAAATCAGTGGTTATAATATACATATCGGTGGTTTTCTCATTTACATAAATACAGGATGACACGTTTGCCAACTTTACATATTTAATTTATCAATTATATCAAATTTCAACTTGCCATCTTATTTTTCAGTCGTTACGAAGCCAAAAAAACAGAGCTTCAGCATTTCTCAAAACTCTCTACCGAATTTCCTCTACATGTCATAAAAATTTTGCATTAATTAGAAGTTTGTAAAAGGAATAAAAACGCGAAAACTGTGATTTTGTAATATAAAAGTAAAGTAAAGTAGGACAGATACCCCCATGAAGCTAGTAACAAATGATCGATTTTCCGGCTTCAATTTTCGCAACAGATGCGTTGTTCAGTCTAATATACATATCGGTGGTTTTCTCATTTACATAAATACAGGATGACACGTTTGCCAACTTTACATATTCAATTTATCATTTATATCGCTTTATTAGTAATCATTTGGTTACACTACTGCTAGTTTGCTGTATGTTTTATTGATTATGTTATCTGTGCATCTGTTAACTGTTGCACAGTTTCTGTCAACGTTGTGAATTATTTAATATTTTCTTTCCTTTCGTTATTAGAAGCAGGAAGTCGAATTTCTGAATCTACCTGGAATCTGGTCTAATAATAAATTTAATCATATGCGACCACCAGCGGAATTAGCTCATTGCTGTCGCTTAAATTGATGAGAGTAATGCGTGGCTTGTTTGGTATGACGGGTGATCACCGCCGAAATTAAAACACGACATTCGGCAATGCGTACATGAGACATATGAACACACGGTGATTATGTACAGCGGATATGCGTAACAGAGTAATGCGAACACAAAGTTCTTTATCAGCTGTAATGGAGAAAGAACGATATGATAACGCTTCATGTCCTGAATAAGAATAAAAATAAGTTGACAATAAAAATTGGGAACTTGGCTTCAAACAATATTGATTACTTATTTTTTGAGTTTTTCCGGTTGTATTAATATTTATATTTATATTTATTTATTTGTATTTATTTATATTTATATTTGTCGTATTATAACTTGTAGAAAACGTTGGTTGGATTTTGGCTCTTTCTTTGCTTTTTCCTAAAATAGTGCCATTTAATTGCTCTAATTTTGTTAAATTCGACCTTTTTGAAAATTTACTTGGCTAAGGACATCCGCAATGCCTGCCGACCCAGATGAATATATTAATACAAATAGTTAGAATTGGAAACTCGAAAGCAGTTTTATGAAATGGTAAGTTTGTACTTGTTAAATGAACATTTAAAAACAATACAAGTGATTAATACCTTATTTATGTAATTTTTCATCTTTTACAATGTTTTGTTCGAACTAAAATTTTATGTTTCTATTGAACAGGAAGATACTAGAAAGATAGTCACTATTCATTAACAACAGTCTTTGAGGAAAATTGAGCACATCTTAGAAAACAATTCTGAAGAGCCCCGGACTGTGATTGCTTATCGTTTAGAGTTGATCATCTTCAACATGTTTTAGTTTGTTCTGATACAATAAGTATACATGCTCAAGTTCATCAGTTGTTAAGCATGGTTTTTTAAATACTGAAATTATTTGAAGATGGTGAGAATGGTGAATATGTTGTACCAACTGTGAAAACTGGTGAGCGTGGACGCCCAGCATGCTATATCACAAAGGATGAACCTCATTGTTTGGTCTCATCAGGGTTCAATGTAACACAGATTGCGTCATTACTAAGTGTTGGAAAACGAACTATAGAAAGAAGGCATCACGAGTTCAACATTTCTTTAAACACTACATTTTCATTAATACGTAATGATGATTTAGACGCTGTTGTTAAAGATATTGTCAATGAATTTCCAAATGTGGGTAGCAGACAACTTCAACATTTCCTAAGAGCAAGAGGATATAATATCCAACATCAGCGTGTTAGAGAAGCACTGCGAAGAGTAGATCCTGAAGGTGTTTTATTACGAGCTATCGAATTGAATGTCATTAAAAGGAAACCGTATAATGTGAAGTCTCCTTTATCACTGTGGCACATCGATGGTTATCACAAACTGATCAGGTAAGGAATTTTCTTTAGTATTAGTTATTAAAACTCATAAATTTAAGTATGTGATACTTTTAAGGGTTTCTTTTAGGTGGAGGTTTGTGATTCGCAGAGGCATTGATGGTTTTTCGAGAAAAATCGTTTACCTGGAATGCCATACGAATAATCATGCAAACACAGTTTTGAATGCGTTTCTTTCTGCTGTCCTTCATCTTGGACTTCCTTCGCGTGTGAGATCTGATAAAGGAGGAGAGAATGTAGCTGTTGCGCAATATTTACTGGAACATCCTGAACGAGGAAGTGGAAGGGGGAGTATGATAATTGGCAAGAGTGTACGCAACCAGAGAATAGAATGTCTTTGGAGAGATCTCTTTTCTGGTTGTGTCCATATGTATTATAATTTGTTTTATAGCCTAGAAAAGTCTGGTATACTAAATCCTGAAGACGACATCGATTTGTTTTGCTTACACTATGTATATTTGCTAAGAATAGCGCTGTCTCTCAAAACCTTTACTCAAGGATGGAATTTTCATGCCATAAGTACAGAAAGTAATTTTACTCCAAATCAGTTAAGGATAAGTGGTCTTCTTCAAATAGCTAACAGTAGTAACAGAATTGCTCAAGATCTTTGGCAAACAGATTTACGTATTTTGTGATTATGATAAGCTGAATATTATAAAAGTACAATATTCTCAGTTTCACACATAACGAGTCAATTGTCGATTTAGGTTAGCATATCTCCCTTTAGGCATATGTTGCGCGTTTGACAATTTTTCTTGAACAAAGGGTGGGGAATTTGATCATTAAAAGCGGAATGGGACACGCCCGTAGGTATGTTACAGATAAGTTAAATGGTGCATAAGTAACTATATATTGAGTGTTAACCACAGTTAACTTGCATTTAACCTAGATCTGAAGCTAATTCCAGTTTGTTTACTCCTATGTAATGAAAAGCTTTACATTCTTGTTGTATAGGAATTTTATGGAGTCAACTGGAATGGCCAAATTTCAAGTGAATCAGATGTCATAGTTGATGTTCCTCAAACAACGAACCCGTTATCTGATGTCGAGTTCAGTAATTTGAAGAATGTGGTTGATCCTCTTCGCAAAATCTAACAAAACAAAATGGGCAATTTGAACTATCTTGAACCAGCAAATGAGCACGATCCATGGCGCAAACTTGCAAACATAATATTATGAAACTTTTGATAATTTTCATATATGATCGGAAGTTTTAAATGATTGAAGCAGGTGTCGGGGTCAACCATAGTGAGATATTTCTTGCCTTAGAGCACTTTTATTTTTGTTTTCAAACCAAGTGGGGGTACACTAAGGTTGGATGTGCAAAACTTAAGAAAAACATTAAGAACAGAGATGTCAACGCCTAGTAATGGAATTAGCTCTATAAGAAAAGTATGCGTGTTAATTCAACAAAAGTGCATTTCACAAATCACTTTCGAGAATATAAATGTAGATAAAATATTTGATAAATTTCTTTGTTATTTTTCTTACCAGTAAGACATTCTGACTCCTTCACAAATTGAATCAAGTGTAAGTATGCTTGCCTTTCTTTGTCATCCTTTTGATTTGATGTTAGGAATGATACAAATTTATCTGCTGTTAACTGTGAATTTGATACTTCATTCACAAAAAACAGTCTCCAACCGTCAAGATTCTTTCGAAGAAACCGCAACAATCCAAAGTGGTCGAGTCCTTCTCAAAATTTTTGAAAGGCAGGCAATCGCTTGTCAAAGAGCTCTTCGATAAGAATGCAACAGACAAAGTTGAATCGACATTTCATGTTGATTAAGGATTTCGTTGGCCATCCTGAACGATTAATGATGGAAGGAAACCTTGCGTCGTCATACAGGACTGAAATCTCCTCATCATTTATGCAACTCTCAATCTAAAAAATGCATAATGCTATCTCACTGTACCGTATGCAATCTCGATTATATAATGTACACGCGATCGCACTGCTTTTTTGCGGTTGTTGGAACAGAGAGAAATTATATTATTAGACTTATCGCGATGATTTTACAACAACGACGTATGAACAAAATAAAAATATGGCAGACTTGGTACCCCCTTTACACGGTTGTCGACAAAACAAAAGTACATTCTCACCCAGCAACCTACCATTTTGATAAAGTCGGTTGATCAGAATTTTTTGGGTTATTAGGAAGATTTTCAAATGTTATCGCTGCCACAGACTTTTCTTTGTCACCACTAACAATGAACTCGTATACATATTTGGTTAGAGTTGGCATACCCGAGCCTTCTTGCAGGATTGAATGTCCAATCATGAGCCCTTCCATTTGTTGCAAATATATCTTGTCCCAGCTGTGTATAGGAATGCGGTTTCCAGGTTTTCCTTCCAATAGCAAGTTACCTATGGTTCTGATTAAGTCACTAAAGAACTCAACTTTATACCACCGGCATCTATAGCATCTTCATACCCTTACAAAGATATGCTTAAAAGACGAAATAATTCTTCAAGAGAGATTGTCTTATAAAAAACAAGCGATCGTTGCCAAATATACTCTTGGTCAAGCATCAGGATTCTCATGTTTTCTTTATCAACTTTTTTTGTGAAGTTAAACAAGTCATGATCATTTATTGTGTCATCTGATGCTGTTGATAATGTATCTGTACGAATAAAAAAAGTATCAAAGTGGTTACGAAACTTGATATGAAAATAACAAACTTTTTTAACATAAACATGTTTCTTATTTGCTAGCAGTTAACATATTTAAAATTAGTTATCTTCAGCATGAATGAGCTAAATATTTACTGTTTTGATTATATATCAGGATATGTTATTCATATGATTTAATAATTTGTAAAAAGAATGAAGTGTAAAAAAAGGCGTTTGACTAAGCAATATTTACCTGGCATGCACTATGTGTAGCGTGGCTAAAGTTTTCTTTGCCTTTTCTTCTCCACAATTAGAGTCCTCTAACTGTTTCGCTGCTTCTCTCATTAGCCTAGCGGCCTCTTGTCGCTTATTAGTTTCGTCCGTCATTGTTAAATATTTACGAAGTTATTACAATGGTTAATACAAAAAGCTCATTTCGAAATAATTGTAACCGCTGTACATAACTATCGCATGTTGCACTAATGTTATGCATATCCGCTGTACATAATCACCGTGTGTTCATATGGCTCATGTTCGCATCGCCGAATGTCATGTTCGCTTTGCCGAATGTCATGTTCGCATTGCCGAATGTCATGTTTCAATTTTGGCCGTGATCACCCGTCATAAGTAAACTCATGGCCAGTGATGTTGGTCAAGTCATTATCATATGGGTTCACATGTTATGAGGGGGAATGGGGTTGAGTGGACTCAAAAAGAGACAACTTGTCCTCCTCAAGATTACTATTGTCAATTATCATTGCTCTCTACATTGAAAAAGTTTGAGTGGTTACGTTAAAAATAGAGAAAATGTCAATAAAAATGAAAACTATTAAAATGCCAATAACTAGTAAACCTGCATTATTGTTTGTTAACAATTCTGTTTGTTTAGTTTTCTTAAAAAATTTAGAAAAATGATTTGCTGATGATTAAGTTATTTTTACCTGAACATATACTCTGGGTTTTTTACGTACATTGACACCATACTTTGCTATCGCTATCTTGAAAAATATTGCTGTACTTGAATCATAATATAATATAGAAAGAGATTACTTCTATTTTTATCATTATATACTGTTAAATTCAACCAGTCCTGTTCAAGCGAATGCCACGATACTGAATCTGTACTGAATACATGATTCATCCGTATCGGATTAGCAAATCGCTATCAAGCAATGAATCCAAATAGATCGAGAAAAAAAATTTACATATATTCAATTTCATTTCTTCCCAGCTATGATTTCGTCATTTCCCCTCAAACAATTCGCGCTCTTTTCTGACATGATTTCATAGTTATATGGCGGTAAACAAAAGGTCGACAGTCGAAATGTCAGAGTATTTTGTGTAGTGTGATTGAACTGTTACCGTAGTGAATCATAATGTTTGGTTTAAATTGTGTACATGGAAACAGACGGGGGCAGTGCTCCATCGAAATTTGAGAGAACTAGAAGAATCTGTTTGTATGTTCAATGCTACCAGAGGCAGAGCGTGCCGCGTGGATGACATACACTGGACTAATCTTCAGATAATCGTTGTACATGGAAACTGCTAATATAATGGCAAAAATAACAGCGAAGGTAAAATATTTGCGTTTAAAGCATTGAATGATTGTGGACAGTTGAAAGAGTTGATGGTTACAAAATTGTCGTGAAATTCTTTATCACTGTAGTGAAATTTGAGCTCCTTATCATGTGACAACTATAATAGAAGGTATGCAGAAATCTTTCAAAATCAGTAGGGGGCACAATGAAATAAATCACAAATCGGCTCAAGAGGTGGACAAGTCCGTTTGGCAGATATGTGACATGGATAAATTTACATAGGGGTGTAAGTCGTACAACACGAAAACTGATTAAAACTCACTGACAATTCTAATCATGGCTTCACCCTGTGAGTGCTCAGTGCATGTCGCTCTAAAATTATGAAGTGCAAAATTAATCTTATTCAAGACGCTTAAATTCAACCTTTTAAATTTTTCTTTTTGTGTGGTTTCTGTTTTAAAATTTGTAGTCGCCACAATCTGCAGAAAAGAATATGGGAACTTGTGGGATGTTTGCCTTAAAATGTTACCTTAGAGAGCATTTCATTGCATATCAGCATTTCAATCAAGCTTGAGTTGCCAAGCATATCTGCCATGTTTCTAAACCATTTGATAGTATCTATGAAACAATATTTACCATCCACACCACCTTGAACATGAGAATGTAGAAATCTTTTCTATTAATTTCATCAACTGTAGCACCAATTTTCAAATAAAGAAGCCCTAGTACCTGTGGTCTGTGGCAAACCATGAGGTTAAAAAATGACTATACCTTTTCTTTTGTTATGGGATCTGTATTGTATGAGTTATTAGCAGAAAATACACATCGAAAAACTTCGTTCTTTTCACATGCAACCATCAACTGATAAAGAATATTCTAATACGTACCATAGTGTACATTTCGCGAACTAAAATACGGAGATCGCTGGCGTGCGGTTGTACTATTAACGTAGCGACGTATAAATGTACTTTCATTAGAATGTTAGTGTAATAAATCACCAAAATGCGTTTTCTTCGACGAAAATGCGATTGTAACAATGTTTTGAAAATAACAAATCAGCTTATTTACCAACATTCTGTTTATAATCATCTAGCGTTAATTGCATATTTATTGGTGTGAAATAGAACGTACTTTCATAGAAGTCCGCATTTTGTGTAATTCTGTAGAATTCCGATCTTACCTTCCGAAGAATTCGAATTTTTTGATCTTCTTTCCTAGACTCGCATAATTCTTTTTGTTGAAACGCGTAGGTGGTAGAAAGTATTATTTGAACGCAAAAATTTCCCGCCGCTCTTTGATTGGGTGATTTCGTTGATATAACGTAGATGTAAATAAGAGGGCTCTAGTAAAAATACCTGTGATTGGTCGATATCAGTTAAAGCCCAAAACATTTGCAACATATCACCTCCCTCCTCCCCTCCCTCCCCTTGCAAAGCAATAGCTTGGTGCTCATGCCAGCGGAAATAGTCGTTTTAAAACG